AGTTCAGCAGAATCAGGATTTTGAAATGATTCATTTGTAATTGAGAAAGAGGTTTGCAATAAGTTTTGACTTGTATCATCTAATTCTAGTTCAGCAGGACTAGAATTTTGAAATGATTTATTTTTGCGAAGATTTAAAAGTGAATTGTCATTTGTTCGTTTTCTATTTCGCATGCGTAAAGTAAGGATTTGCATCTTGGACATCTTTAGAAGCTACTAACTCGTCAGGTGAGTGCGCTATTCTTGTAAGTTACGATTGTATATAACCTTTTATTTTATTAATTGTGCTTTTTTTTATCTCCACCTATTTATACCTTATATAGATATACTTTCTATATGTTTATTTGAATGTTAACCAAAAGTTTGATCATTTTTATTTAATTAAATAACATGATATTACATCATTTTATGCAATTAATCCGATTTGCTAATCTGTTGCATAATACGATCGATCAACCTGTTGCTGTCAAGAAAAAATCATGACCTTATCGTGAAATCGTTGAATTCATGAATATCGTTAAAGATACGAAAGTAATGTATAATCAGCAACAGTAAAAAAGGCAACATAAGTAAAAAATGTAGACATCATAAAAGATATAAATAACGTAAAAGTTATAATTTAAAAATGGGAGAAAGTATAAAGGTCCCCTAGATCCAGTGATGGCAAAATGACAAATCTGACTTTTTTATAACAAATAAATGACATATAAAAGCATAATTAAAATCATATCAATGATATTTTTTTATGTCAAATTGCCATCACAGCCCCGATCTGCCCTTGGTAAAAGTAAGTCTCCGACTTTAACAAATAAAATAGAGAAATAACTGAAAATCCAAAAGTCATCTCTTATTAAATAATTAGTCTGGAATTACTTTAACTTTGTAAATAGTTAATTAAACTTTTGTAGATTCATATCTAATCGAGCTCTAATATTTCGCTAATTAAGTGAACTTTCTTAATGTTGCCAATCTAAACAATTTCGCTATCTAGTTAAATCAAATTTAAAGATTAGGTATAACCTAAAATCAAAAATAATATTACTCAAACTTCAACACTAATGCTGGTAACGAAATTTTTCAGATTTGTAACGCTAAAATGATGTGTTCATGATACGTAATAACATCGATACTTGACATAGGCTTTGCATTGAATCTGAGACTTAGGAACCCCACAAAAACCTAAAGAAGGATTTGAGATTAGTAAGGCTATATATAGTGAGAAAAAAAATATATAGATTAGAGATAAGAAAGGGATACGCCTCGAACTAGTTGGCAATTAACCGATTTAAAATTTTAGTAATTGATGTAAGGATATAGTTAACCAATAAGAACTATTCATAATGGTAGAGGTATATCCAGTGTGTTTTTTATTTCATCCTGCCAATGTTTTATACCTCTGATATTTCTTAATATGCAAAAGTACTGCCTTTTGAAGGAATTCACTCCGTTTTACCAACAGTTATTTCACCGACTTTTAGCATTAACTTTAAATGCTTAACCCTGACTATAAATTGTAGCTTTTAAATTATCTCAAGGCACAAATAATAGGAAGATTACAGCAGATCAATATAGTATCGGTATGGGTGATCAGAAATATATGGTGTGGGGGTGCACTGTACAAAATTAAAAAATATATACCAATACTAATCTGCTGTAATTCTCATACTGATCGTCTATACCATACCGATCTGTGTAATACTGTAATATAGAATTATCAAAGAAACTATAATGATAAATTAACATTTTACAGTGGGTATTATAACTGTTTAACCGTCTAAAAATTGTTTCATAATTTCAGGAAAACTATGTTAGTTATGGGCTAGAATTATTTGATACTAGCTAAATTAAACAATTAATGTGGTTAAACGGTTAGAAAAATTTTAGGTGGTTTTTAATTTCTAATTTACAATAGCTAATAGAGTTAATAAACATAATAACAGACATAATGAGCAATTAAAATGCAAAATTATGCATAATCTTAAAACTGTATGTAAATGCATGTACATATATACATTAATGTATTGTATTATACAGAGCATGATCTTAAAATATCTGACTTTCCACGTGTTGGAATGTCAAGTGACAACGTAATAGAATTCAGATTTTTGATGTCTTCTAAGACTCTTTTGTATGAACTGTATTCTCGCTGGCTTTCTTTGTGAATGTGAATGACGTGTAACTTGAACGCTGCTTGGATGAATCTTTTTAATGTATCCCGAGTTATCTCTATAAATTCTGATTCTCTGGTGCTTGTAAGATACTTTTGCAAAACTTTCTTCGTGACATCATAGTCAATATATCTATTTAATCCGTTTTCATCCAGAACATTCGTATCATAATTGCTACAACCAAATAAATTTTAATATAGTTAGTTAATTATTGCATATCATAAAATATTTTTACCTTGTATTTTTAGTATACTCATTAGCAAGATTCTTGAGGTCCTTATTAAGAGTGTAATGAAATTCACTAAACAACGACTTAGATTTCTCTAGAAGTTGTTGAAAATCATCATCTGCAAGTTTAGAACTTGGCAGAACCATAGCCACCAAATGATCAAATGTCGTCTGCGATAGATTTCTATTTCGAAGAAATAAACATTTTAGCTCTTCGAGCCAAATCCGGAGTCTTGCCTAAGTAGAGAATAAGTTAGTCAAATATGTATTTTTTTCTTTATATATATATATAAAATAAAAATAAATATTAAAACTATTTTAAAATTACTACTACTCGATGATTCGAATTCTAGTTGACCGACCAGACTTATTGAGATTAATGTAGTCATAACAAATTCTGGTCTGTATTGTTTAGCATTGCATACAGTACATAGTGATTCATTAGTAAAGAAATTAATTTATATGGTAGAATATTATTTTTTAGTAGATTTTTTATGCGATGCTAAACGATAATTAAATAATGCTCGCTAAAAGATCTACATTTTGACTATTATTACCACTACATATATACCTCTAAGGTTGATTCCTTAATTGATTGATCTGATAACGTTGACAGTTCCCCAAGCAAAAGTTCTTTAGATGTAGAAGATTGATTCCATTTTGTTTGTTTACTTCGATATATCATATTAGCCATGGAGAGAATATTAGGATGATCTGCAATAAATGTTGCAATCTCGAATACTGTTGCATCTTGATAGAATAAATTATATGAGCTAAAAGCTAAAATTGGAAACTATAAAAATAAATAATTATACTTCTTACCTGAAGTAATAGCTGCTTTGTTGCATAATTATTTTCATCGTCATCTAAAAACGTATTCATCCAGCTTGGGGATTGTTCTTCGTGTGAATGGGTTAGTGAAGAAATAGGATCTGTTGTATCTTGAGGTTGTGGTTTATCGAGTACATTATTATTGAGCACATTATTATTGAGCTCTAAGTTAACTGCTTGGGTATTATATTGATTAGGAAGAATTGAAGTGCTGTTAACTTCAGTTTGTACACTGTTAACTTCGGATTGTACACTGTCAACTTCGGAATTATGTGAATCAATAGAAATTGGTGTAGTTTTCGATTTTTCTTGCGAAATAGTCACAGCTATATTTTGACTTAAAAAAAATATATTTATTTTATTTTATTCTAGTTTAGATTTATCTTATTAAATTGGATATACCTCTTGCAAAGACGTTTTGATCTACGTCTAGTATCTACAGTTTGAAATTCGTCTAAGACTTATCAGTTAATATCTTTTTAAATAGAAAATTTAATGAAAACATTGTACTCTCCTATATACACCTTGTATTGCTGATTTTTTCTGAATTGTTTCTTTAGTTTTAGCGCTTAGACCTTTTCTTGGCATTTTGACAACCTGTACATGTACAAACTAAAATTAATATGTTGTAGTGCATTCTTTGTTAATGAAAAAATATTAGTAGGATAAAAGTTCTATTTAATTCATTAACACACCAGCTCTCTTTTTTTTTCACTTTATTTGATTAACTTCATTCGATACCTGTATATCTTTATTATACTATATTTAGAAAAGAATTAATTATAATTTATACGTATATATGTATACGTATATACGTACGTACATATATTAATTGATTACACTGTTAAAATAAGCATTGCATGAATATACGTACATATATACTAATTTACATGTCATTTTGTTTATTTATTTATTTATTTTTAACCCCCCCCCTAGCGGTTACTTCACTTTAAAATCTCTTGATTAGAATTAGCAATAAGTTTGTAGATAATACTATACCAAAATTTTGCATTAGATTGTTTTTTTTTTGATGGACCTATATAGGGTGGTTTTCTTAAACAAAATTCTAAGATCAGAGTTTTCCTAAAAATTTTTTGTAATTTTCACGTTATATCTCTTGATTTGCCAGAATCTGAAACTCGAAGAGAAATTAGTAAACATAAGGTAATTGTGGGTATTATAGTGAATTTAACACTTCTTATTAATAAAAAGCTTTGTTTTTCGGTATTGTTTAAATTTATATGGATTTTAACTTGTTTTACAATCATGGTATGAAAAAATTGTGCTTTATATAAATCATGAAATGCCACTTGGAGGGCTACATTTTTTAATTTTGTGAGAGTAAAGTGGCGAACGTTAATCCATTTTCATTGCATGTGACCACCTTGATGATTTTCTTTAAAAATCAGTTTACACTTAAAACAGGATTTTTTTTTCGTTGTATGTCTTGGCGCAAAAATTCATTTCGGTGCCAAAAGTATAACCAAAAAAGTCATTAATAAAAAGCTATCTATATTGTGAGTAATATGTTCAATTAACCATTTTAGAGTAGCATTTTATAGAGTCACCACTAGCAATCTTTAATTTTAAAACTACATTCTACATTCATTATAATAGATCCATAGAGCTAAGAAATTCTGATAATTATAGATATTCGGTAAATTGCAAATTGCCCAGATAATTTAATAATGTTTGGGTAGAGTTTTTCAATAAGTACAATCTCTATGTATTTATAATTAATTAACACTAGAATTATAAAATGCGATATAATATTAAATTGTTTAAGAATCTCTTTTTTGGAAAATTTAGTCGATTTTAATTTCTACTATATAGTGAGAAATCCATTTTAATATATATATATAGTTTACTATAATGCAGATAGAATACGATAGATTTTAAATAATTTTAATTTTCAAGTTATATATTGGCGAATATTAATATATTTATATCCATATAATAGTGTTGACAATTTTATTGGTTAAACAAATTTTTAGTTAGCCAAAAAACAGCCAATTTTGATCAAGTTTAAATGTTCTTTTTTAGAATAGCTTCGAAATTCAAACAAAGAAATTTTAATTATTGTTTTAATTTCTTTTTTTGAATTTCGGAGCCATCCTTAGGTCAACAAATATTCAAAAAATTAGTTTTGGCTAATAAAATTGACAATATTGTTATAGAATACACTAGATTTTTTATATTCACAATATAACTATATATTATCGGGTTTGGGTAATATCACTAGTTTGAGATATGTTTAGGCTTCTAGTAAAACTGTTTATAGAGTTATTTTATCTTTCTTTTCATTTTATGTACTGTATTAACATTTATATACATAGATTGGAATTGAGACAATTCAGAACTAGTCTGAAATTAGACCTATAATAATTTTGTAATCTCGAGCAGGAGTATCGAAAAATTAATTGCAATTAACTTATTATATAATTGCAATTAAATTATTATTATTACATAATTATGGTCAAGAATCTTTCACTACTGCTTTTTATTGATATAATCAATGATTTTAAAAAAAATATGCAAATTTTAAAAAAATCATCGATTGCATCATTTTTTTATAAAAATATCTATATTGGATAATTCATTTATGTATTAATTGCTTAGAAATTACGGTTAATTTATTATTTTATTTTAATTTTTAATCATTAATAATTCATAATTAATAACTAGAATTTCTATCGCTAATTGCAATTTTTGTACTATAAATTTATAAAATTGGTTTGTAAATTAATAATTGCTTCTGGGGAAAATATGTATTTTGAAAGAAAATTTGTTTTCAAAATTTAGCTAAATTCAAATTAAAAGATCAAAATTTATTTTGTTTTTATTAATTTTAAGATAGTTTTATTCTTTGTATTTCGGATTTGTAATTCTGGTTTAATACAATAATATACGGATATATAAATATATTTAAAGTTTTTTATTTATAATAATTAAATAATTAGAGTTAGATAAGAATCGTATAATCATCTTTTTATATAATAATTATAAGATAATTACAAGATAATTATATAATTATAATAAAATAATTAGATATTAATTGCAAAAAAATAATTATATAAGAATCGTATTTTTATTGTATAATAATCTTATAATAATTATATAGTTATTCTACGATTATAATATAATTGCATTATGTTGATCTAATATTTATATCGTATAATTATTATATGATTATTATATTATTATCGTAATATACTAATATTATTACCTTATATCTTATGATAGTCTTAGTGATTTCAAATTTATCGTATTTCTAACTTAAATATATCTTAAATCTCTCAATAAAATATTAGTAGTTTCTGTAAAGTAATTATCCCTTAAACCGTTTTGCAGACAAATTTGCCTGCAAATTTTTGATCAAAATTGTTTTTGCTAGAAAAACCACTATGTCAACCTCAGTAATATTGATACTACTTTTAACCATTTGAATAACGTTTTGCTTTTAGTTTTGTGAAATATCCCCAAGTTTATACTTCGCTCGAGATGCTCCTGGGTGTGCCAATTTATTGAAATTCCACCGGTTTAAAAATTCCAAATTTGCCTGGATCAGTTTACGGCTTAAGGGATAAAAATCATTGGATAATAACTTCTAATACAAATAACCCTCGTCAATATCAACC